AGTAATCGTTAGAGGTTATAATAAATTGACTCTTATTGTCAATAGAAAACTCTTGACATCTTTTTTTAGTGTAAATCCAGATTAGTTGATCATGGAGGCTAAGCTGCACAACCGGTGGAAATTCATTGGTTGTGAAGTCATTATCTGTGTTTCCAATTGGCCTCATTCGAATTGAGCAAATCCGAATTAGGAGAATAAATTTGCTGAAAGGAATCTCACCAATTTCAGGAGGGAAAACAGTTTTTGTGCTCGAATGAGGTTGTTTTCCCAGCTGTGGTGAAATTGGTGCCTTTGCAAAACTCCAGTGGAAACTTTTATCATATTACACTAATCATATGCTTAACTACTGGATGTTACTACTGGGGGGAAAGACTAATAAGACAACAGGAAGTGGTAGAGGGATGACAGTGTGGCATGTTTTTAATGACTTGTGGCATCAACAAAATGATTCGCATGTGATTTTAGTTGCATTTCTTATTTCATGGAAACGCCGCAATGGCGAATTTGTGCGGTTTCTGCAACATTAGGGGAATATTGATAATGTTTTGCACACATTTGTAAAGGAAACACAGCTTCAGACTGTTCTTAACCTCTTAGCAGCACCCGATCTGGGAAAACAAAATTATCCGTGTAATGGTGCTTTTTATTTTTCAAGGAATGCCCGCTGTTGGGATTTTGGTTGCCATTGTTTTAAGGCTTTATGTTTCCTGCAGGGCAAGTGGCTGAGGAATACCAGGATCATGGGACCGCAGACCACAGCCCAGCTGTCACCAAGCCAGTTTGTGTCAACGGGACAGAAGCCGGGTCTCTAAACAGCAAGACCAAAGCCGAGCGCAGGTCCTCCTCCTCGTCCAACCCCTCACGTAAAGGAGTTTCCACAGCCAGCAAAATCCGCAAGCTCTCCACCTGCAAACAGCAATGACAGCCCTCCGATCCTCTCCCACGGCAGCAGCCCGTCTGGTAAGTGACCACTGCTGAGTTTGTAGAAAAGAAAAAACAAACCTCCAATATGCTTCAGATCCAGCGAACTGTAGTGAGGACCATGTTTCAGAGTGGAGTGTAGAAGGGAAACGGACTGAGAGACGGAGTTGGTATTCAGCTTACAACTCTCTGACTCATCACCACTTCCCTGACAAATACAAGAGCGATCTCTCTTGCTCTTTTTCTTTTTTTTTTTTAGCCACAAAAACACCTCTGGACTGGGTTGTCAAATATCTTTTCAACTGATTGTCAGGGCTCCTTGTTCAAATCAACTAGGACATGTTATCCCTTCAAGCATTTTGCCAAATTTCGAACAGTGTCTTCTTTTTCCAGCTACCACCCACAGCTGCTCTCTCCATCTCGCACACATCCGAAGCTCTCGCAGAGCGAGGCCGTTTGTCACAGGCGCAGTGCAGAAGAGATGCTGTGTATTAATTTGTTCAGGCGATGACTCATCCCGAATGAGATGAAGTGGGTTGTGGGATGTTTGTGTCTTTCTCACCCTGTGGGTTGACTCTTTCCATTTCAACACTACAAATTAGTTTTCGCCTTGTAAAAATCCAGTCGTCTGAGATCGTCGGTCGCGTTCTCATCCGAGCCCCTCTCTCTCTCTCTCTCTCTTTCAGGTCATTCTGTCATCGTCCCTTATTGTCTGGAGTCCCGATGGCTGGGAGTGAAGCCTGCTGACATTAACGTCCCCACACCTCCCCGGACCGCCAGCCTGCATCGCCTCTCGAGAAGAGGAGAGGGATGGAGGGAGGGTCGACCGGGAGGAGAAGGACGGCATGAAAAGTTCTGTTTGCTCTGAGACTGAGGCACTTGCTGTGAAGATGTTTATTTTCTCCCAGTTTGTTTTCCTCCTTTTAACTTGTATCATCCGGTTCTGGTTATTCACCCCCCCTCTCTCCTGACCCCAGTTCTGTCATCCTCATCAGATGGCCAAGTATTGCACCGGACGATTCAGACGCCCCCTGACCCTCGACCCCGTCCCCGTCCCTTCCTCCCCCGACTTCTGTTTTCTTCAACTACCTTTGTTTTTACTGAACCCTGATGGCCGTTTTTAATACACATTGTGATGTGTAAAATATTAAAGTGGGGAGAAAAAAAAAAGAAAAGCTATGGATAATTCTGTATTTAAAGCTACTTTGTGAGTAATCATTATAGCAAGACCACCAACATAAACTGCATGTCGTACAGAGCTGAATGAAAAGGGAAGGCGATTGGTTCGCGTAGATGCTGACAGACCGAAACCCCGACTTAAATCTTAATTTAGGTTTAAATTTTATTTTTCCAGTGATTTTATTTTTATTATTATTATTTATAAAGAATGTGTCCCAAAACAGTCTGTTCTGCTCAAGTTTTTTGTTGTTTTTTTTTTGCTAGCTGGGAATATATTTTGCACAGTGCACCTCACTTTATGCCAATCAATAACTTTTATTATTGTATTTCATTTTTACGTTCTAATACAAATAGGCTTGAGGTACAGAGGAATACCCAGATTTAAAATCCATATAGTTTCAAAACAAAACAATTGATTATTACACTAAAACTGCAGTAGCTCACCTGCGAGATGCATGACTGTTAGGACATCAGGTGCAGATTACTCAAGCAAATACGTTAATTAATAGCGATGCACCAATCAGGCAATTCACTTCCTGCTGATTTGAAGTTTTTTTTGGAAAAAGAATATAGCAGGAGTAATTCATTTTGGTAATTCATATTATATTATGAATTACATTATCAATGCTTTGTAAAGGGTCTATGTTTTGAGCAGGGGTCTGTAGCCTGTGGCGCTGGAGCCATGTTTTCATTTGTAGCTCCTCTATAGAGGCTCTCTGGCTTTAATCAAAAAATGATTCCATCATAATGGCTCAAAGAGAGGTTGGCTTTAGCAGCTCTGCAAAGTTTTCAAAGAATTTCTTCAACACAATTACCGTACTAATGCTTCTTTTCAATCTTTTATATGCTGTTGTTTTTTTGTTTTTCTTAGGTGAGCTGTACATTTTTCCTCATTAGTTTCTGTTTATATAGTTTGTGCTAAAGTAGCCTGGTTGCACAAGAGACTCTTGGAACATTTTATTATAAAAGTTTTATGTTGTTTTGTATTCTGATATACAAATATCTGACTTTTACAATTGAAGGATATCTTCTTGGCTTTACGGACTGAAAAGGTTGCTGACTCCTGCTCTAAACTTTTTGGAAAAGTGGCAAAACATCAAAAACACAACATTGGAAGTTTCTACAGACAGTTGAGGATATTTCTGTTTTTGTAAGAAAACTAATCAAGAGAAAATCTTCGGTTGGTGCCTCTATCAAACCAGCTGTTAACAGCTTAGACTGCACAATAAAAACATTAGTTCAGGTTTATTGCATAATGTATCAATCAAATAATAACTGCAAACATTAGAGATGCAATGACTAGTAAAACACAATCTTGCAATGGCAAGGGAAATATCAGCTCTTCAGGTTTTAATTAAAAGCAAATTGGTCTTAAATGATCGATTTTAGTTTTGTAAATCAAACTTTTTTTTTTTTTTGCACTGAATCAAATCTGCAGTTGTTTCAACTGATAGTTTATGCAGATGCTGCTCGGTTGAAGGCAGTCGGCGCCGAAAACTGCCCAGTAAACTGTTTTTTGTTTGGGGAGTTTTTTTTTTTTTTTTTTTTTTTTTTTTTTTTTTGCACCAATCACATCTGTGGGAGCCCTGCCTCTCTCTCTCCTGCATCATGAGCTCCTGACCGGGAACAGATCAGCAGCTGAGTCACGACTGTGAGGGGAACAGAGAGAGCAGCGCTCTCCACGTCAGCAAGGTCAGCGCTGAGCCTCCAGCCGGAGACAGGAAGGGTGCAGCGAGGATGGAGAGAGGCATTGTGAACGCTTCGGCCCAGTGGTTGGTACGACAGGACACACTTCATGTGTTTGGTTTGATTGTGAAGCTTAGACACCCAGCTCTCACACACAAGCTTGAATGAGTCACCATGGGGTGGAAAAAAAAAGACTGAAATGTACATTTTGCTTTAGTTTGTGCCACAAAGGCTTCATTTCTGTCGATGCTGCAGGAACTGATTTATTTTTATAGTAACACATGAAGCAGTGAGGATGAAAAAGCCACTGTTTCTCTCCGGAGGTTACACACAGGAACTCATGAGTGAGTTTTATTTTTTTTAGTTTTGGAGGATCAAAGCAGCACCTGATCATTAAAATCACACTTTCAGTTCAGGTTGCAGTTTAATAGATTCTAAATATTTTCTTAATGTTGGAATCTAAAGGGGGAAATTAATGGACCTGCTTGAGTTCAGCTGATAAAAGATGTTTTATTACTTTAAAGCCTTACCAGAATGTAAGCATTTTACTCACCCCTGTTTAAAATGCCATGCTTCTGTGAAGTCTGTCTTTAGGCTGTGAAATCCAAGAATAATGTAAAAGATGAAGAAGCTATCAGACTGTAAGTGTGAAGGCATCTCTTGTCGGCAGCCATTTTTAATTACCTACTAGTGTTTGCTGTCCGATTTCATTCTGGTCTTCTAAAATATGGAATATTCTCCTGGTGAAGTAAGTAACACTTTATCAATAAAGCACCTTTTAAGATTTAAAGATCACAAAGTGACGCCACTTTTTGTAGAAAAAACCCCACATTGAAACAAAATGTTTATGAAGAAAGTGTTTTGTTTTGTTTTTTTTAAGTCTGGCTTTTCTTTGGCCTTCGTTTTATTGCTGCATGTTAATGCAGACATGGAGGACGCAGCGTCGTTTTCTCACCTGTATAAACCCAAACCATCCAGTCATCCATCCATTTTCTGTACAGCCTTATCCTTAGGGGGGTCAGGAGGGGCGCTGGTGCCCATCTCCGGCGACCGTTTCGGGCGAGAGGCAGGTTGCACCCTGAACTGGTAACTAGTCTGTCGCACTAACCCAAAGCACAGCTTTGAAATCCATTTTCTTCTTCATCTTGGTCAGGGACTAAAATGCAGCTAGGAGAGCTTTTCACCTCAAAAGAAACAAACGGTCAGACTGCAGATTTGTTTTCGGGAGAAAAACGGATCATTCCCACGTTTTTATTTGGACGTACACAGTGTGTTAATCATTTCTTTTACTCCTGGGCACAACAAGGCAAAGCCGCCTCTGATTACTTTCAGCATGTGAAAGCCTGAACTCCTCCGTGAGCAATCTGTTTCAAAGCCTCGGAGGCCTCTGTGTCACTCACTTCAAGCATCATCCGTCAGTCTTCCCTCTGAAGAGTCCCAGATGCACTAAAGCCCTGCCGTCTCCTCAGCCGTGCTACACAACCAGAACTGATGACTAACACAAATAAACACAACTTAAGTATAATGCAAAACTGCTCACACGTGTTTATTTTCATTTTATTTGAGTGCATCTTCTGCTTTCCATCTGGTTTTATAGTTTTATCTTCAGGTTGGCTGATAAAGTGTTGGTGAAAGACAGGGAGCTGTAAACATGTTTGGTGTCGTTCTTCATACGGTGCCTTGCAAATCTATTCACATCACTTTTTTTTTTTTTTTTAACTTTACAACCACAAAATTATATCTTATTGAAATTCTATGCAATAGACGGACACAAAGTATGGCATAATTGTTAAATGAAATGAATAAATGACGTGGAATTGGTGTGGAATTATAAAATAAAAAAAATAGCCAGAAATAAAAAGCTAGTGCAAATAATCATCTCCAGAGGTTCTCTACTTAATACCAAAGTCCAACTGTGGCTGATTTATTCTCAGTATGAATCCTGCTGTTATTTGGTGCTATCTGTGGATTGTTATTAGGGGGACATTATTCATAAAACCAGAAAAGAGGAATATGCCAACTCTGGAGGAGCGTGGTTGTTTCATTTTGTTATTGACTAAAACTGAACCATTTGGCCTGCAATAAAATGTTGCACACCTAAACCCTGTCAGAAGACCCATAGAGCAAGAACTTCATGGCCCAGTCAAAGTCCATACCTAAATGCCATTGAGATTCAGTGGCAGGTCTTGAAAATTAATATCCTCATATTCTCTCTGGTTCTACAGTTTTTAGTCATTTCAGAATAGCGGGTTTATTTTAAGAGAAAATCCAACTTTGCACTAGTTCATGTGTGTCTGTCGTAAAATTCCACCTAAACACAATTTTGTGGTTGTGAGTGTAAAAGCCAAGGGGACATTTGCGGTTCACCGTATTGTCATTATCCGTGGGATCGACCGCTCTCACACGCCCATTCACCCTCATGACGGCGGAGACAAACAAGGTCACTTGAGGAGGACATGAGAGAAATGGCTGACGAACACCAGCGGTAGCTTTCATCCCATCAAAGTGCTCATAGAGGTTAAAACTGTACACTATTCACAGACACCTAGTTTGGACTAGTTTGCATGCTGAAAAGTCACAGGTAGGTCAGAAAATAACGTTTTCTAAAGATGCATCTACATCTTTGAATGTCAGCGATAAGTTCTCTGTTTGCAGACGGAGGGACGTCACAGTGGCAGTTTGGGTGTGACTGGACGAGTTGGAAGCTAATGCTAATGCTGGAAGCTAAAGCTGCTAGAGATGCCTGACACATGGTGATGTTTGACTTATTGTGGTTTTATGATAAATACAACAGCAGGGAATTATGTGGGATTGGACCCTGGTGATGCAGTGTGCGTCACCATGACCTCTGACCCTCCTTGTCGGGCCTTCTCCACACGGCGCAGTCCGGCGTAGAGTCTCTCGTCCACCGACGCCACCAGCTTGTCTGCCAGGCTGCTCTGGGCCTGCAGGGAAACCTCTGACAGGATGGCCTGGCTGCTGTTGTTGTTCCTGTTGTCCACTCTGGGGTCCATGTGGCTCATTTGCGTCGACAGAGTGCTGCTTGCGCTTCTTGCCTCCTTGCTTGGGGACACATGGCAGCCATCAGACTCACCAGCCAACTCTGAGGAGATGTTTCTCATTGGGTCTGCTCCGTCAGACGTTCTGTCGGCTGTGCTCCCTGCAGCTCCTTCTCCTACCGGATCTTCTGCTCTCTCCCTTGCCGCCTCCTCAGAAGCCGCGACCTCGCTGGCTTCTTCATCGGCAGCACTTGCTATTCTCGACAGGGTGCTGTGGTACCTGGTGTCCAGCGGGTACCCTGCGCTGTCCCCCCTCCTGAGCGGGGTGAACCTCTGTCTCTCCAGAGACGGCGAGTACCTTCCCCCTGAGGCCGAACCCGGGTCGCTGTATTGCTTGTGTCTCTGCCACTGCTTCCGGAGGTGAACCCTGGACCTGTGCCTGGAGCGCAGCGGAGAGTCCTGCTGGTCGAAGCGCGGATCGTGACGCAGGAACTCGTTGAAGAGCGCATCTGTCTTCTCGTCTATGCTGTAGTCACGGCGACGGAGACGGGATCGATGAGGACTCGGGGGCTGTGGGGTCGGGTTCACCAGCGGAGAAATAAGCTGAGTTTGTGTTTCTGGAGGCTTCTGAGGATGGAGGGACTTCAGTAGCTGATATGGCTCTTGAGGGGTGTGAGAAAGACTGTCACCCTGAGATTTCTGCTTCAGTCTGTCCTCTGTGTCTGTGCTGAGGGCCATCTGGTCCTCCAGCTCCTCCTGAAACAACTTGGTCTCCACGCTCTCACACACTGAGCCTTTCCTCCCAGAGCTGGTAAAAAACAGTCTCCTCTCAGAAGCAGTCTTCCCCCGAGGGGCCCCAGGAGCCCCAAAAAGCCTCAAATCTTCAGGGGCTCTGGATGGCGCTTCAATGGAGGCATAACCACTGTCCATCTGAAGCAACTTCCTGTTTCCTCCCTCCGCCTCTCCTCCAGCCCCATTCCCCATCTCCCCGTCTGCCCCTGACGCCCCTCTGGTTCCACCCTCTGCCTCACCGTCTCCTTCAGGCTCATCGTCCAGGTCTTGCGACAGGCAGGTGTCCAGGCCTGAGCGAGCTCCTGCTCCACCAAAGGACGAGACGCTGTCTGCATCACTGCGGACCGACTCACGATCAGTGCTGCTCTGATCTGAAGAGGCATATTGCTCCAGAGAGGCTCTAAGGCTCCAGATGTCTCTGTAGAGGGACGGGGGTGCGTCTGAGCTCTCTTGGCGGATCATGAAAGACAGAGACGAGCCTGAGTCTGTCCTTCTTCTGGCCACAGCTCCCAACGCTGCATCGTCTCCCTCATCTGTCCCTGCATAGTTCTTTCTTCTCACACCAGTCACGCCAACGTCTGTTTTTGTGTCCTCGGTTTGCCTCAACAGCTCTTCAAAGCGGTCCCGCCTGGTGGGTCCTTGCTCTGCACCAAACAGGTCGTCATCGTCCGCAGACTCCGACTCATTTCTTGCTGCTTCCGTTCTTATCGCCGCTCCAAACACCGTTTCTTGTTCCGCTTGGGTTCCATTGACGGCAGGCTCAACTTGACCCACAGCGGGATCAGATGGGAGACAAGGTTTGGCTCTCCTGCTACTGGTGGTGCTGCCACCTACCTCCACCATGGCCTCCAGCTTTAGCCTGCACAGGAGAGGAACTTGCAGTCAGAACCTGATTTTGTTGAAATCGTTGTTATGTAAGGAGAGAATTACCTCCTGAGGAAGACAGAGGATGTAGGAGCTGTTTCAGGATGAGGCAGAGTCTCAGCGGAGAGGGACTGGAGGCCGCTGGTCTGGATGGGAATATGTGGGAAAGATTCAAAGGCGTCATCTGGGAGCGGAGAGGAGTCTTCATCGGTGTGGTCAGTGGTTTCACTTGCTGCTCTCTGTCTCTGAAAAGGCTTTCTCTTTGGAGAGCCTGGAAGGAAATCAGACACATCTTCACATTTCCATCTAGTGCCAAATGTGTCACAATCCAGAGAAACTCTTAATAGTTAATCAATTCTTATTCTTACTAAAACAAGGGGAACCAATATGTAGCTCTATACTGCAAACTTTTTATACTTTCATCTTTCTCTTGCTTGTCTTTTCTTTTGTTTATATTTCCACTCATGTAAAGCTTTGAATTTCCTTGTTGCTGAAAAGTTACAAATAAATGAAAAGACCTTCCTTGCCTTACCTAACATTGAAGTTATTACTTACACTTGTCAAAACTGAAATGAAATTGGAAATGCACGTTAAAAATAAATGTATTAATACATGAAAAATCTGACATACATAAATTAGTTAAATAAACAAATCAGTTGTAGGTATCAAGGTAAATATATAAAGAAATGATGTACAAGGTTCTAAAGTAACACAGTTAAATAAGAAATTGAACCTTAAATGTTGACATATTAAATAAATATGATTCTCTTTTTCACAAAATAACAATTTTAACAATTTATGGATTTAATGTGCGTATGTATTTGTTTAGCTATTCTTCTTAGAACCATTTCTGGCATATTTACTAACTTTCTGAAGACCGATGGGCTTTATAGGGACCAAAACGCAGTCCTAATACGATGAACTCCTTTGTTTAGGGTTAGAGGTCAGGTTTGGAGGTAAGGTGTTTGGGTTAGGCATAAATTCACTCACTACAATGAATGAAAGTCAATGCAAGATCCTAATATGGGTAGAAATAGAAACCTGTGTATGATATAACATAGTGGAGCTGGATGATGCTGTAATTCTCTGTGCAGATTAGCCAATCAGAGGTCAGACGCAGCGGCAAATAAATCATGTCATGGTTCAGTGTTACACAGGAACCATGAAATCACTTAATACTTTTATAATTACATATGCTCATAACATTTAATGAATAAATTTCACATATTTATCGGCTCATATATTTGATTATTGTCATAATGATAATAAATGCACCTATTTATAAATTTAACCATTTGTATTTATATTTATTTTCATTGAGACAAGCATGAACAACAATAGTTTGTGGCACTATAGTTCTGTATACGTCTCATCTCTCCTTTCAAACCAGTTTAAAGTTTAGTTTTAAAAACCCATATTTATCTGCTGAAAGCTTGCAGCTTTTCCATGAATTTGCGCAAACCTTTGGCGTCCAGACTGGCCGCCCGATGGCTGGTGTCGAACTTCCACCTCCTAAAGTAAGGCCCGGCCCCCTCCAGGCTGGCATGTCGCCGCAGTTTGGAGAGGAAGTGCAGAACAGACGTCGGACCCGGGGCCTGAGCCGACTCTCCCCTCGGCTCCCACTCGCTCTCGGCCTCGCCCCTGTCTCCCACGGCCTCCATCTGACAAAAGAGATGAAGGCAGAGGAGGATGGAGGGGAGGTGGAGACCCATTAAGGAAGGACATGCGGCTGAGATGGATGGTGACAATGAGAGCCAGAGTCCTCAGGGGACAGTATTTGTCATGTTGTCACTCAGCTGCAGCGATGACTGATGCAGCAGCAGCAGCAGCAGCAGCAGCAGCAGCAGCAGCAGCAGCAGCAGCAGCAGCTCTGAGCCACTGAGTTTCACTTTGTGTTGGAAATCAGTGGATTTGTTTGCGCTGTAGAAATAAACCAAGTTCAGTACAGACCAGCTTGGTTTTGAGTTTGAAAACAAAAGTCACATTGACAGATAAATAGCAGCTAATGAGCTAGTAGAGACAAAATAAATGAACGAAATCAAGTTTGGTAAAGTACAGCTGTGGTTTATGTTTCATTATGTAACAAAGAATGTTCCCTGTGTTCTCACAGCTTAATTGGATCATATTTCATAAGAGAAAAATGACCCAAACGAGAATTCGAACCACAATTGATAGAAATCGTATGTAATGCAACAGAGATATAATATGATGTGGAGATTAATTAACTTTTTAAACTTATGGAGCTCAGGGGATATAATCACAAGAAGGTTTGTGAACCTGTCAACTGTGGCAAATAAGGCGCGAGAATTGTTCATGTTTTTGTTTCTAATCTCCACAAATAATAAAGAACGTATCTCTTGCATGTTTTAGTGATGAGTGATGGCTTCAGTCTCTCTTTGTAGATTTTACAGTAAACGTGACGTTGAGTTTGACCTTCATCAGCCGTACCACAAAAGTAACTTCAGTGAGATGCTTCCTTCAACCATCTACCAGTCTCTGACATCGGCCCATTTCTCACTTTCAGCTGATAGATATTTGCGGGGGTTCATACATGCTTACCCAATATTAAGTCAATATTAAGTTTGTGCTGCTTTGGCATTAAAGTTATTAAAGTAAGTTTAAAGGTCATTTTGATTTAGTAAAAGTGGGGGTTTGATCTTTGAACTTTTAAAGTCAACGCAGCACAAACAAAAGCATTTGCTGCACAAACCAGCACAAATGTGATCAAGTGGATTTACACCAATTTTGTCTGATTTGAAGAAGGGAAGGAGGGAGGTGGGTGGGGGGCTGGTTGACCTTTCATGACCTCTAGAAACATTTCCTAATATCTTTAAAATGATAGCAGCGCAAACAAAAAATTTAGCTGCGCAAATGTTCGACGCCAATTTTGCCTGATTTGAGGAAGGTGGGGTGGCCAACTTCACTCGGGTGTGAACAAAGTTACATGCAAACAAAAGATGAACAGTAGTAAAGTACGCTCACGCGTTTAAGAGATTCATCTGAAGAACAAACTTCAAATGGAAGCAAGGTTAATCAAAGTTAAAGACTCACTGTCTGAGAGCGCTGGGACTTGAGGACAGATGAGGACTGCCTGTCTCTCTGGTCCGGGACAGTGGAGTGGTGTGGATCTCCAGGCAGCCCCCCACTCAAGCTCTGTCCCACCCAGTCAGGGACTCTCCTCTCAGCAGGCTGGAAGAAGGAGACAGAAAACTGCCTCAGAATCAGAGGCCGAAATGCGGCGTCTCACCGAGCTGACGTCGTTCGGCTACCTGGTAGATGCTGAGAGGCAGCTGGGGAGCTGCAGTCTCACTGATGTTGATGGTGCTGCTCTCCGTGGAGTCGCACTCCATGATGGTGAGTATCTTCAGGTCACACGGAGCAGGAGGCAGGTGCAGGTGGGTCAGCCGGGCCTTTTTCAGGTGATGGAAGTCTCCTTCGGTGAGAGTGTACCTGAGGTCGAGGCATAAGCATCTGGTCTCTGTCCACCAAAGAGAGAAGAATACCCAAGTTTGCTCAAGTGGACATTACCTGCGTCCTTTTTCCTGAGTGTTTTTTTCCTGCTCGTACAGCGCAGATTCATTGAAGGACACTCTGCGGCCAGTGGAGCCGGTGGAAACAAATCGGTCCGACTCTCCATCGTGACAGCTCGACGCTGAGAGAGCATCTGATTCATCCAGACGAATTGTGATCTCTGAGCAACAAGGACGCGCCGGTGAAAAGGAACAAAAGAGGTCTGTGACAACACCGAGCCAGAAAGTATGTGTGAAACTGGAAAACAAAACGGCGCAGCTCTGACCTTGCGTGGGCTGAGAATCCTCGGCATAAGTCGTGTTTGTCTTCTCGGGGTCATCGCTCGCTCTGCGGGGAGGAAACTACTTTACCTCTCCGTGTTTTTGAACACAGAAGGAGAAGTGCTCTGTCACGCTGTGAATTTTCTCACGTTGCAATGCACACCGACCTGGTTCTGGCAGGACCCACCTGGAGTAGCGTCGTCCACCCAAGCAGCAGCGGTGACAGAAGAGCAGCAGCAGGGACAGCAGGACCAGCGTCCCGCCAGCGAAGACGCTCAGCAGCACCAGCAGCAGCACGTAGTTGTCCGCCTGGCCTGTCGACACGGGCACATCCTTTTGCTGAGCAATTATTTAAGAAAGGGGGGAAAAAAATACGTTAAATTGTAGACTCAGTAGCTTTCAGCTGCTTTACATTTCATTTCATAGACATTGGCTGCAACAGCAAATGACACAGTGTGTATTGATATGAATCATATCAATTCCTGTTCCAGTCTGAACAACATGGAGGACATTTTGGTGAGGATTCTCCAGTAGAGACTTTGACTAGGACGTTACAGCTAATCTACTTCCTCATACCTCTCACTATATGTTTAGGGTTGCTGCCCTATTATTTTTTGTTTTTTCATGATTGTCTTGTATTTATCTTCTCTTCTACTCTGACCATCTTCCATGAAAAGCATCCCAAAGCATGATGGTACCACCACCATGTATTGCAGTGGGAATGGTATGGGCAGCGGTTTCCAGTCCAATCAGTCAGTCTGGATGGACATACATGTCTTGGTACGTTTGCTTTTGTGGATATTACCCTGAGTTTGAACCTCAGGGTGGTTCAAACTTCTCCTCAACTTTCTCCCTGAACTTGCTGCTGTTCTTCCTTGTTCTTCATGATGTCGCTGCTTCCCCGATGCTCTCTAACAAACCATCTTCAAAGAAAAATCAGGGGACTTCTGGTTGCTGGGGATTTTATTTGGGGCATCACAATAAAATGGGTTGAATACCAGGAAATCAAAATGCATACCACCCTTTTTGAAATTTTAAACTTTGCAAGTACAAGATGCAGAGAACATTGTGTAGGTCTAAAGCAATAAAATATGTTGAACTGTGTCTTTGTAACATGACAAAATGCCAAAATGGTTCTGGATATTCTTCTTGAATTCTCTCACAAATGTACTTAATATTTTGAAAAAAAAAAAACATTATCGGCAAATCATTGCCATAAAGTCACAAGGACATAATTAAATCCTGTTTAAATGCAAGCTGCACAGAACGCTGGAGTCGCTGGCCTCCCAGGAGAGGGTGAGTGAGATACATTTGTTTCCATCGGGGCAGAAATTTGACCAAATTACACAGTGTAATCCTGTTACCAGCTGTGCGTGGGTTGGGACAGATCCCTGGTTTTCCTTTTTCCTTTTCTGGACACTTTTCTTTTTCTGTGCATTCAAATGAAATGCTCTGCAAAGGACTCCAAACCAACAACATCCACACTGAAGGATGAAGGTAAAATACCCAGAAGCAGAGCAACACATTGAAGCTAATGAATCTCATTTGAATATCTAATCTTTTATCTATAAATATCCCTCCAAACATCATTGTAATCACTTAAACTTTGATCTTCTCTGTGGTGATATTGCTTGGGTTGCAGCGCATGAATTTAATTTCCTTTCCTTGAATTTGCCCGTCATCTCCAAAGATCCAGATTCATTTATTGACCAGCAAAGCCAGGCAGAGGCACGCATTTCTCCACTGCTGTGTTTTGTTACGGGAACATGGTGGCAGAATTCACTCTGCCTGGACTGTAATTGCTTGTCTTTCCTTTCTTTCCTAAAGAGCGAGTGAGGACTCTCTTTGCGGTGTTCAGCTGTAAGCACCATAATATTTAATGAGTGGAATCAGCACTGGAAGACACACGCCCAAATACACACCGCCTGTTCGCTCACACACACTCAAGTAGACAACCAACTGCTCTCTTTTGATTAATACACTCAGTCTCGGCTGAGCAGGGCTGGGGATGCTAATCGAAACGTCAGCAAGACCCTTAATTCAATTTCCCAACTCTTCTCAATGAGAGGGAAATGAGGCCTTTGCAGGCTAAACATGGAAATAGGAGGAGGAAGAGGAGGAAGAGGAAGAGGAAGAGGAGGAGGAGGAGGAGGAGGAGGAGGAGGAGGAGGATGCCGACGCACATGAGCAATCCCCACTGAAGACTTTCCTGGCTCTTCTCCGAATGTCAGTTTCAGTGGAAAGAGGAGAATAATTGGACTCTTTCTGCCCGCACGAAAAGAATATTAATCAATTGAAATGTTTGATCTTGGCTAATGGATGAAGATGTATAAAGAGAATTACCCAGAGAGGCTCAAGAGGGGAGAGAAGAGCCCAGGAATTCCTCATGGAGTGCAAAACGACTTTAGGATAATGATGGTGTCAACCGCAGCCGCACTTCAAACATCTTTCAAAGAGAGAAAATGCCTGCGTCTCCACAGACAGTTGAAACCAAAAGCGTACAAACGATTTGTGAAAAGACACATGACGCTGTCTGTTTTGTGAAATGTACCAGTCAGTTTTTCATGACCATTTTCATGCTTGCAGGTGTCTCTCTCTTTTCCATCCAACAGAAACAATTACGGCCCAACACTTCAGTTGGACTTTCATCAAACCAGAGGACAAGTCTCCAAAGATTAAGCTTCTTGTTTCGGCGTTCATCCGTAAATTGTCCTTTTGGCTTTTATGCTTCATTTGAAATGGCCTCTTCCTCACTGCATGGCTCTTCAGGCCAGGACTGTTCAGTATTCTGACTCAACACATAAAAACTTGAACGAAGACAGTTCAAGTTTAGTTTGGTTTAATTCAGACAGTGAGAAATAATGTGTCTTCTGATAAAGTGTATATATCTTGTTTCCAATCCATATCATCATGACTCCAATATAAAGCAGGACCGGCGATAGATCCATCTGAATTCAGCCAGGGGTGATTTCAGACAATAAAATATGGGTGGAAAAGAGAAACTCTGCCTTCAGTCCTGAGCGTTGTGGTTCTTCTGTGGAACCACCAATCAGAAGATCCATCTAACAGCATCAAGTCACTTCAGAAAGCAGACCTGGCTGGTAATAAGTGTGGACACTCATAAACACTTTTTTTTTGTTCGATATGCCCCTAAAAATAGCCTCATGTCAGAACATGTTAACTTAAACCAAGTTAAAGATGAAACAAAGTGTCTTACGTTCAGCAGCCCACATCCACGAGGCAAGAGAAGAAGCTGGAAGCTGGTTTGATAAGTGGCTTAAAGATTCAAACCAATTTCATTTCTTTACAGAAAAAAAACCCAAAGTGAAACGTACATCATTAACTGATGTAAGGACCAAAGTGTCCTTACACTTACTGTAAACTCTGGCAAAGTATAAAAAAAAAAATAAAAAATAAAAAACTTTTATTAAATAATGTTTTATTGCAGTTACATGGAGAAACATCTAATTTGAATAGATTAATTCAACGTTGTTTTCACTTCACAGTGAGCATTAATTAATCATTTATCCTTAATCCAGTCCAACCTGGAGTATTTGCTGAAACTTACTCCAATCTGATCAAACCACTCCATTAAAGTCCAGAGTAGAGTTCAGCAATCTCAGTATGTTTATGTTCGTGACAGTAGGACTTTCTCTCCGACACAACAATATGGAGCACATCAAATGATTGTTGTGGAGACTTGGTCTAACTTAAACCCCAATTAGTCATTTTACTGAAGCTCTCAAACAGAGAGCATTGAACATTTTTATTTTACGTCTTTGTATCACACTTTAGTTTATCACACTTTATATTGTTTTAACTTTTTTATCATTGCTGAGACTCTATGGGGAGTGGGATTCTTAAATATTAATGTGCATCAGTTCACAAGAAAAACAGGAAACACTTGGATTTATTTAAGAATGCAAAGTATTAATTAAAGAAATGGTCAATTTAGATCATTTACATTAAACTATGAGAATAGTTATGTTCTAAAATAAATCTTTATCATTCTTTTATTTAACTGTTTCACTGATGTTTGTTGGATCGTTTAACAAACTCAAAAAACGCAAGACATTGAGTGTACTGGATTCATGATCAGGTTTTTGGGTTCAGTAGTGTGTGCTTGCGCACGTGCGTGTGTGTGTGTGGGTGTGTGCGCGCGTGTGTGTGTGCATTTATCAGAGCATCCGTGACTTAATAAAACCTGCTGTTTCTACAAACTCAGCCAAATGGGAAGCAAAGCTCCATCAATCAGGCGGAGCAGCGAAGCCATCTTTCTGACTCACTGTGCAGAGCAACATGGAAGTCGATTCTCCGTCTCCACAGAGAACTCAAACTGACTAGCAATCAGAGCAGCCAACTCAGACGACTCCTCTCTCTTTCTCTCATCCATCCAGAACCATATTCAGTTCTGGTTTTCCATCGGCTCCCCATCTGCCCGTCACCCCGCAGTACCCGCAGATTGAAGCCGACACCTGGAACACTGTTTCCCCCAACATGCCTTGCTCCGAGGTTCCCACCCCGATTGAAACCCAGCAGGGATTCAGAAAACATCGTGAGAGTTTCTTCAAGCATAGCATCACGATCCAGCTCCATCTGAAGGTGTGGACAGCATGTGTTGCTGGAGCAGCATACTCACAGTGGAGTTCTCTGTCAGACTTGTCAGGACAGGCAGATCATTGCTCATGGTCCAGGTCAGAGTGAGTGAACCCTGTGGAGGAATCAGAGAAGGACAGATCGACTTTAAAACATCCAATTCAGATTATATAAATGTTATACCATCCTTTACAGAATACAGACTGTGCAACTGAACTTCTAAATACTCTGAGATAAAGTTTGATTAAGCTGTAGGGCAACAAAGCTGGTCAGAAATTTACATAAGTTTGGATAAATGTCACTTAAACTGCAAATACCGCAAGCTTTTTGTGGCCACCAAGGAGTTTATGGAGTAATCAAGGATTCACTTTTGACCATTATTGGCAGAAATTCTTCTGATAATCTAGAACGGTTGGCTTCCCATCAAACTTGGCCTTTAAAGCTGCAGTCCAAAAATTTGAATAAATTTTCCTCAAACCACCACCCAGCTAAGGTCATGCGTGTACAGCAAGGATGGAATTCTAGAGGTCACAGGTGAGAGGTCAGCCTAGGTTTTCTAATGTGCATACTAAAACTAGGCTGTGCAAAGTTCACACTGCCCAGCTTATTATATGACACTATTTTGACATATGGATGCGAAACTTAAGCTTGGCGCTCAACTGTTACACCCTTACAGGCTTTTAATTTGTTAAAAACGTGTGTTGGCGATAGTGGCATCTCTTGTCCTTTTGAGTCTGAAACTCCCTGATGTAGTTTCTGTCACTTTTAGGAGACCTCTCCTGAAAAGGTCACTGTGATGTGGATGCAAATACAATTCACAAAACAGCTTCTTCCTCTTTGGACATTTGTTTGGACTCGCTGGTTGTTTGTTTAATCGTTTTTTTAACATGAAATTGATACACAGAACGATGAAGGCTGCCACACATCAGCATGACAGAAACATGCTTTTACGCTTTCAATGATCTCTTCCTAAAACATGCGTCCATGTTTTGTTGCCTGCTTTCAAGCCTTTGGGCCGAGAGAACTGCACAATAACGCTATAAACAGTTGTGGGAATTTATCCATATATTGGTGCCTATGCGTATTATTCTGATTTTCCAGTGATTTGTGAAAATTCACAATAAATTTGGTGCCAAATTGTTTTTTTCTCAAATTCACTGCAGTTGAATGATGGGGGGAAAAAAAGCATGGCTCCAATGAATCATGTGAAGCCCAAAATTAATCTGACAGTCATGTGCATGATGAGTGTAGGTAACCTTGGTACTGTGCTTCCCACAAGCCTTGCAAAGAGCATGAGCTGCCTTTGCAAAGTGTTGTCTCCTGAGGGAGAGAATTGCTTCCCTTGGTGTTGATTCAAACTGTTGCTTGCATGAAGAAAGTGTATATAACTCATTAAAAAAAAACATTAAATGTTCAAACTAATCAAGTCTGTCCTTTTTAGCACTTTTTTTGCTGGAGTTTCTACTAAAGGATTTTTTTTGCGGCAGCTATGATATTCAGTCTTGTATCCTTGAAGTAGTGATGTGTGTATGTATGTGTGTGTTAAGGCTGAAGGTTAAATGAAAACTGCTAAAAAAAACAGCAGCAAAAAGCATAAAAAGACAAACACAAATAAAACTGCATAGAAGTGAAGTTTTTGATTGAGTTTTTCTGTAATTGAATCTGAGTGTTAAACTGATGCCTTCTCAGACTGCAGCGAATTCTGCGAATCATTTCTACCAAAGTTGCAGAAATTATTTTCCAATTGTTCCCATTCCAGACTGCACGCTCTTATTCAGAGACATCAGCTGCCCAATTTGAAGATTTTGCATTTAATGTCAGCTCAAATTTTATCATAATGTTCTGCACAGTTCACATTTTTGTCCAAAACTTCTGTGTTTATGTTGGACTTTCTGAAATCACAAAGTACTGCACATCTGTGAAGTGGAATGAAACTGTTTGTCAAAATGTTGCACAAACACAGTTTTAAAACTTGTGGTGTGTATTCAACTTTTTAGTAACTGAAACTCCTCTAAGAATAACCCACAACAACAAACTACCTCCAGAAAAACTCAATGAATAAAAAGGGCTTGTTTGTTTGTCATTTAGTCTCAGGATAAATGAAGCTGTTCTGTGAAGGCCCAGTGGAACAAGCAGACCAAAACCAGACCAAAATTTAATGGAGAAACTGTGGCAAGACTTGACAATTGACGTTTAGGGATTCTCGATATGCAAACTTCCACAATTTGAGCCTTTTTGCAAAGACTCATGGGTACAAAATTACTGACTCATATTTCTGGACGTTACAGACTTTCTGTAATTGCAACAAAAGATGGTTGTGCTAAGTATTGACTCAAGATATGGGTGTCACATTTTCAGACTTCTGTCTGTAATACATTTTTTAAACCATGTTTAATTCGTCTAACGTTTCACAATTGCATACTTTGCGAAAGTCTGTCCTGTAAATTTACTGTAAATACAAAGAAGATGGAGCAAACAGTAGAAAAATGAGCAGTGGTGAGTGCAGAGGATGATCAGAGACAAAACGAATCACTCTTAACCGTTCAAATCACGTAACTCTTTCTAAAATCCATTATGGGCTGTGTGTGAAGTCAATGAGGGGGATCTTGAACTAGAGTAATGTCTCCATTTTTGTGTGATTGGCTTCATCTCTAAGGTTAAAAGGACTTTTCTGCAGTAAGGCGTCTGTGCACCTTGTGTAACGTCAGTCCAGGACTGCATTCCTCACACATGCTGATAACCCGGCTGCACATTCCCTCGCCATGAGGGAGACTCATATTTTATGTAATATCTCAGCTCAAGGTAACTACGACGAGGCCGCAGCTCTGAACAACACACCATCGCTTCATGCGCTGCACATGGCTGTGAATCCTTGCTCTGATAAAATAAAAAAAAATCTCCCCCGGTGATTCATTCAGAATCGCAGCCCGTTTGTTATTCTTATCCTGACATTTGTGAGTGTCTTTTGAGAGTTTTCTCTCATTCACACCTAACAGAAATAGAAATAGCCTGATATTCAAATGTTTGTTTGTTTTTTTTCAGATAAAATGGTTGAAATCTGAAGTGGATTTTCAGGAAGAACTGAATTAAATTTGTGATCACACTAAAAGGTCAGATGGAGTGGAGACTTAAAGGGAATTGAACATAAATGTAATGATCTCGAAATTTAATTGGTTAAATTAAATCAAAGTATATATTAAACTGCATCTTTTTATGAATTTTATTCAAGGGTGTAAGAGTAAAGGGAGCAGAGTACAAATGCATGCCGCACTTCTCAGATTTTCATTTATAAATAAAATACCCCCAGTTACACATTATTTTTGTTTCAGTCTGTCAAATATTATTCCAAGAAAGACATTGAGGCTTGTGTCCTGAGACAAAATGTGAAACATTTTGAAAAGCGAATTTAGCAAAACACACACAGTTATTATACATGTTAAAACAACATATATTGGGGGTTTTATGGCCAGAGTTGCAATGTGGCAAGAAGGAAGCCCCTGTATAAAAAATAGCACAAAAAAAACAAAACAACCTTTATGGACACAGCAGCCATGTGCAAGAAGGTGCTTTGCTGAAGTAAAACCCAGTTCTTAAAACACTATCTGAGGTTTAAAACTAAAAGAAAAAAAACACACTGAACTAAAGGAACCTTACTATTTGGCCCAGGTGTGTTGAAGCAGAAACACATCTTAAAGTTGCAGGACTCCAGTTCTCTAGGTCTAGAGTTGAAGTCCCCTGCACTATGTGAAGGTCCTACTGAAAGTTCAATGCACT